GTGTGTGTGCTGGATGTGAGGACAGAAAGATAGATATGCTAATAGAAAGAAAGAAAGAATTAGATAGATAGATAGAGAGATAGATAGATAGACAGACAGAGAGAATGACAAACATTAGATAGATAGATAGATAGATAGATAGATAGATAGATAGAGTTAAATAGACAGACAGAGAGTCAGATAGATAGATAGACAGACAGACAGACAGACAGAGTTAAATAGACAGATAGATAGACAGACAGACAGACAGACAGATAGATAGATAGATAGAGACAGACAGACAGACAGACAGACAGATATACAGACAGGCAGACAGATAGATAGATAGATAGATAGACAGACAGACAGACAGACAGACAGTTAAATAGACAGACAGACAGACAGATAGATAGATAGATAGATAGATAGATAGATAGATAGATAGATAGATAGATAGATAGATTGGTAGTAAGTTAATCATTAGTTAAAAGAGAGTGTATTATTACAAATTTACAGGTGCATGAGAGGTTTTCAATAGAATTTTGTCCAATTTCACAGAACACTAACCTTTGTACCTTTGTTGTTTTCATGTGTGTCTATTCAATCGTATGCACTCAAAAGACCCTTTTTATTCTTAAGTCCCAAAGCCAGAGAGAACAAACGACCAGACAGAGCTTTATGCGCCTTAGACCCATTCTGTGAACCAAACTACAGGCTAAAGAACACTGTCTACAGCTACAGATTTGGTCAATCCATGTTTTCCCCTGATCTGGCACATTCAATGCTATATTCATTTTCACAATGGATGCCACTGAGTTGTGTAAAAGAACACCTGCTCGCATGACATGTCAGGGCAGTGTAGTAGACCTGCAGTTTCAAAGAGAACAGTTGTGGCAAACTGTGTTTTGCTATTTTGAAGGTTGGTTGGATAAAAGCCAAAAAACAGACACATAATATTGTGTTGAATAAAAACTGTTTTCAAATTCATTGTCAATTATATCATTCTAATAAAATGATTAGTGACTCAGATGTGCCTTCTTTCTTCTTCTGTGTAACCTTTTGACAAAGGAAGTCCCTAAGATTTTTCTTTTAACTAAAGCACCTGTGAAACTTCACAAGAAATTATGATGTTTTGGAGTGAATAAAAGGCAGCAAGATTATTACTTTGTTAAACGGATAGTCCACCCAAAAATGAAAATACTGTCATTATTTACTCACTTTCATGTCATTCCAAACTTATACGACTTTCTTTTTCTCTGGAACATAAAAAATAAGATATTTTGAGGAATGTAATTAAACAGTTTCAGTTCCCACTGACTTTCATAATAAATTATATAAAATGATAACTGTCTGTCTGTCTATCTATCTATCTGACTGTCTGTCTGTCTGTCTATTTAACTCTGACTGTCTATCTATCTATCTAAACGATGATTATGATTGCCTCCTGATTGCAATATTATTGATGCATGGAAATTCATGACATGTTTTATGTTTTTGCTTGCTGAAATTCTAAGATTGTTAAGTGCTGCAAAGTCAAATTCAAGCTGTGGAATATGGTAGCTGGTTTCTAGTTGGTAGACAGTGTTGGGAAGGTTACTTTGGAAATGTAATAGGTTACAGATTACAAGTTACCCTACTTAAAATGTAATAAGTAGTGTAACTTTTCAATTACTTTATTAAAGTAATGTAACTGATTACATTTGATTACTTTTTGATTACTTTTCTAAATTTCTAATGTTTTCAACTGTTAATCATTTTCAAACATAAACCAGGCAGGGTTAATCTTAGAGTAGTACTCAGTAGTCACCACTGACTCCTGTCAGACTTTCGAAATCCTTCATCACTTGAATAAAGATTATAATAGTTTAATTTTAAAGGAGACATTGGATGCAAAATGTGTGTGGACACAACCACCCTACAATGATAACAATCCATTCACTCCTTTTTTTAATCCCCCAAAAACCTAAACAGTCTCAATTATCAAGCCGTTTTGATTTTCTGAGCAGTATAATGTCAAATTTGCTCAGGCCCGCCCACAACCGCTGAAGTAGCCTACTGTCCAGTATTAGCATAGTTTCGCCCTCAGCCAGTTGTACGAAGTCCTGTAATTTAATTACACATTTTTCTCAGTTATTGTAACTGATTACAATTACTTTTAGGCTATTTTGTCATTAAATTACGTAATTCCGTTACATGCAGGCCCGGACTGGCCATCGCGAGCACCGGGAGCATTCCCGGTGGCCTGGCGGCTGATTTGACCCGCTGCCCTGTTTTTTTTTAGTTATTATTATTATTAATATTTTATATTTATTCCTTTCAATGTACCAAAGTGATCATTTCCGATTTTTTCATTCGATAATAAATCGATAATAAATCATAAATCGGTTAGTCTTGACTGGCAGCGCTGCGCTATACGAATCAGCTCGCGTGTGTTCCGCGCTTCGGTCAAACGGTTCCGAACAGAACCGATGCACGGGACTCGATGGTTGCGTTCGCGTCTCTTGCAGCGTATCATGCATGAAACGCCATTCTAAAAACACTGCGATCTAGTTAAAATAAGTTCACTCCCATCTTCTTGCATGTTTTACCTATTCCACTGCCCGCGTTGCATCTTTGTCAACACAAAAGCGCATTCTGTGTGAATTGCGTTTAGCCTATGGTCCTTCACAGAGCGCGTCACACGTGAGCGGTTAATCACGTGCGCCGACATGCGGTTGGATCGTTCTTTTCTCTTTACTGTTATCACCGGCATATTGTCAAAGTGTCTAATTCTAACATTTGGTAATATTTCTATTGAAAATCGCGATTCCTCGATTTCTAAAAAATAAAATAGTGGCAAAACAATAAATTCGAATTAATCGATAAAATCGGGAAAATCGCCCAGCCCTAGGCACGAATTAGCCTACTACTTAAGGTACTAATATGTACTGCTAGGTGTTGTTGTACCCCAAAAGGTAAAATTTTGGCCTTTTTTTCTGTGTGGCCTGGATGAGTGTGAGATTTCCCGGCCTGAAATTGCATCCCAGTCCGGCCCTGGTTACATGTAACTAGTCACTTCCCAACACTGCTGGTAGACCATCTTGAACCATGGTTTTTGCATGGTGGTCCACCAGCTAATCATCTTGGACCAGATATTATCCAGCTTGGACCAGCAATAAACCAGCTACCACCTTCCAAAACACAGCTAGCAGCTTAAACTGGACTTTCAAGCAGCACTATAATAAGGACATAAACTGAGCACTGAGAATTGATCACTTTTGCTGTAGCAAACAACCTGCAAAATAATTAAAGAAAGGACTAGCAACCGACTGGTTATTCTCTTTTATATGTATCAATTTCACCTGTTTTTATTATATTCTATTGTTACTTTTAAATTTTAAAGATAAGATTTCTTTCAGGACACGTAATTAATACTCAAAACCTGGAGTAAAAGATCAACCCGTCCACTTAATTATTTAAAGTGCATCATATTTTATACCTTTATATTCGATTATATTTCTTTCTAATATAGACTACTTCATTCAATGAATTGAATGTTCATTTGACCCTGCCATAAAACTGACAGTGACAACTACTTTGAAATCCCGTTCTATCCATGATCTCGCGAGATTTGTGCTACAACTAATTCTGGCGGAAGTAGTTCTAGATTCTCTTTTCCGGCGGCCATAGCGACAAATCGGCAGGGTAAGCCAAGATTGCTAAAGCATTTCTTAAACATCCTTTGCCATCCTCGTGGATTTTTATGTTCTCAAAGTTTAAAACACACATTATCGCTACATAATATCCCTATTTTCAATTTAGATATATTAGTTTATACTTAAGGTGCGACATCTCGGTGGATTTAGTCGCCAATGTTCAGCCAGTGGCTGCTATAGGAGCTTTGCTCCCTCCCGTGTGGATAACTAATTTTGCCCAAAACACAAGGCCATGGTTTCCGTTTGTGCGTGTTATATGTTGTTTTAGTCGTGTTGCGTATAAACGCTCTTCAAACACATTAATTATGGAAACTTACGCTGTACGTGCGTATATTGTCATGTGACGTTGAAATAACTAGTTACAGCAATACCACGAGCGGTTGAACATGCTTTTCAAATAACTTACACCGTGTGTTAGCCAGACATAAATGAGCGTATTATTGTTTGTAATATTGTTTTATGTGATATCACTGCTGATTTGTCCATTGAGAGACGTGCCGAAGTGTATCAAACAAACCCAAGTTCGTGTCAGTAAAGCTTGAGACGGGTTCATTCTTCTACAAACCTAGTTTTTCTTGTGTTGAATGTGGCTTTTTTGCAACCCAACTACAATTTACACTTGCTTATTTAGCAGATATGTTTATTTTTTGGATTCAAATTGAATTTTAATTGTCCTCTTTCTTTAACAGCCATCATGAAGCTCAATAAATTTGTGACCTCCTCCCGGCGCAAGAACCGCAAGAGGCACTTCAATGCCCCTTCACACATCCGCAGGAAGATCATGTCCTCCCCTCTGTCCAAAGAGCTCCGCCAGAAGTACAACGTGAGATCCGTGCCCATCCGTAAGGATGATGAAGTCCAGGTGAG